CTATCTATCTATCTATCTATCTATCTATCTATCTATCTATCTATCTATCTATCTATCTATCTATCTATCTATCTATCTATCTATCTATCTATCTATCTATCTATCTATCTATCTATCTATCTATCTATCTATCTATCTATCTATCTATCTATCTATCTATCTATCTATCTATCTATCTATCTATCTATCTATCTATCTATCTATCTATCTATCTATCTATCTATCTATCTATCTATCTATCTATCTATCTATCTATCTATCTATCTATCTATCTATCTATCTATCTATCTATCTATCTATCTATCTATCTATCTATCTATCTATCTATCTATCTATCTATCTATCTATCTATCTATCTATCTATCTATCTATCTATCTATCTATCTATCTATCTATCTATCTATCTATCTATCTATCTATCTATCTATCTATCTATCTATCTATCTATCTATCTATCTATCTATCTATCTATCTATCTATCTATCTATCTATCTATCTATCTATCTATCTATCTATCTATCTATCTATCTATCTATCTATCTATCTATCTATCTATCTATCTATCTATCTATCTATCTATCTATCTATCTATCTATCTATCTATTTATCTATCTATCTATCTATCTATACACCGTATATATATGAGGTGCCAGAGGGGCGATGGTGGGGGGCGAACCAAGGACCGTGCAATTGCAAAGCCGCCACTCTACCACTGAGCCATGCTACCTCCCCATATATGTATATACACTTACATACATTTTTATTTCTCATTCCCCTCTCAGATATCTTTGTTTGCAAATGATACTATTATGACTTTAGTGATAATGATAATTCGACGTCATTAAGATCCGTGTAATCAGACTCTTAGATTTAATCAATATAATCACGTAAGTCAAATGAGCGACGCCATTTCCACGAAAGTCCTCATCAATATGAATCGAGAAATGATCATAATTATTATGACTTGAGTGATAATGATCATAACCGCCATTTTCTTTTCTCTCGAAGAAGCCAGCAGCCAAGATGGCGTTCGAGGAAGATGAGAGAGAGGAAAGAGAGAAAGGAGAATGAGTGGGAGAGAAGAGAGAAAGGTGAGAGAGTGGGAGAAAGGCAGATAGAGGAGAGAGGGAAGAGGGAGGAGGGAGAAAGAAAGGAGAGAGCGAGAGGTAGAGAGAGAGAGAGAGAGAGAGAGAGAGAGAGAGAGAGAGAGAGAGAGAGAGAGAGAGAGAGAGAGAGAGAGAGAGAGAGAGAGAGAGAGAGAGAGAGAGAGAGAGAGAGAGAGAGACTTCAGCTGCACTGTGCATACTGTTTTGAAACCCTGAGGAAACACTCTCAATCACTGTCAGGAACAGAATGCTGAGGTCGCCGGCTGAACAAGAGGCCCAGACGTGGAGCATACAAGGCGGTAAGGATTCTTTTGAAGTGTGGTTTCAACTGCAAATATATCCCCTCCCCCTCCACCCCCCCTCTTCCCACCTCCTCTCTTCTCTCACTCCCTCCTCATCTTTACCGCCCTTTACACCCTCTCCTCTTCCTCTCCCAACCTCCCTTCCCCCTTCTTCCGTCCCCCTTTCCCATTCCTATCCTCCCTTCTCCTTACCCTCCCTTTCCTTCTCCCCTTTCCTCTCCTCCCTTCTACCCTTACTTCCCCCCCCCCCCCATTCCTTCCCCCCCCCCTCAACCCCGTGAAGTGAACCCCTTGATTCCGCCAACACTGTGCAAACTTTCTCACCCTTATTATAAGTGAGGCAAGGACAGAGGAAGGGGGCGGGGGAGGGAGGGAGTAAGGGAGAGAGGGAGGGAGAGGGAGTAAGGGAGAGAGGGAGGGAGAGGGAGGGGAGGGAGAGGGAGTGAGGGAGGGAGGGAGAGGGAGAGAGGGAGGGAGGGAGGGAGGGAGGGAGGGAGGGAGGGAAGGAGAAGGGGGTGGGAGAGAGAGATAGATAGATATAGAGAGTGAGTGAGTGAGAGAGAGAGAGAGAGATTAAGCGATCGAGAGACGAGACGAGACGAGACGCGTCACCAGACTGCGCCCAGACAGACACGGATTAGGCCTACCGTAAGCATCCTTTAGGCCTATTAAGCGACGGTTGATGACTGCCTCCTCGATATCCTGTAAGGTTCGGCCCCGAACAACGGTCTGGCTCGCTGCTCCGCCGGCGAATCTGGGGGGGGGGGGATAGGGAAGAGGAGTAGGGGAAGATTGGGGGGAGGGGAGATGAAGGAGGTAAAAAAGGAGGAGACGAAGGAAAAAATGAGGTAGAACAAGAACAACAACAAGGAAGGAGTAAATGATAGGGGAAGAGGAAGTAGAAGAAGAAGATGAAGAAGGAGAAGAAGAAGAAGAAGAAGAAGAAGAAGAAGAAGAAGAAGAAGAAGAAGAAGAAGAAGAAGAATGAGAAATAGAAGACGAAGAAGAAGAAAAAATAGAAGAAGAAGGAGCAGATGAAGAAGAAGAAGAAGAATGAGAAATAGAAGATGAAGAAGAAGAAATAGAAGAAGA